AGGACAGCAATTTGTCTGTTCTCCTTCCCCGATTCCCCAACGCTGTTCCCCTCCCTGAATTCCCCAATAAAATCTTTAAAAAAAAACAAAAAGAAAGAAAAAGAAACTACGTGCTGTGGATATCAACATATTTATGATCAACTTCAAGGGTTGATATTATGTATTAAGATATGACAACTTTCTTAGATTTAATTTATGGTTGAGATCTTCCTGCTAGCCTTACTGATTCAATAATCCATATTTTCAGAATATAAATCTGTGTGGGGAGGGTAGCAAATCCGACCTCACGTTTTGCTCCATAACGTGATAAAAGTCTATGACATAAAATGGTGAATACCAATTTCAAATTACAAATCAACCAGATTTTTTTCTACTTGTGTAATTCCCTAGTAATATTTCCTAGGTATTTAAAAAGACTTTTCTTTAAAACCCTATCTAACCAGAGAACGATCGCCTCATTATTTACTGAGTTCCTACTGAGTTCTCAGCAGTTTGTTTCCAGTGTTTTCCCATAAAGTCCTAGACAAATGACACAAATCATAAACCATTTGTAGGCTGCCACATTAAACCTCTGGTTCTGGAAGGCTGAGAGGTGTGGAGAAAAACAAATGAAAAAGTGTTATTCATGACCAATTGATCAATTACGCTGCTTCTCATTAAAAAACATAAAAAAGGCAGAACCAATTTAGCAATGACTGCTTTAGAAATGCATAAAAACATTATTAATGTTGGATTTCTTTTTTCTCATTTATTTTTAGTCCTCTTTAGAAAATTACACTTGAGAGCTTCCTGTAATGGCAATTGAAGGAGCAAGTAAGACAGCCCTAGAACCCTCTTGTAATGCTAATCACGGTCAATACTCAGCGTGTAAAGGCCTTTTCTGTACACAGTTAGGTTTCAGAAGCCATGGGCTGACTTACAGAATGCCTTGAGTGTATGAGATAACCAACCAGGGAAGTTACCATCTAACAAGATTCATCCATCATCCCATGAAGAAATCCAACGTGGCCTTTCATAAACCTGACAATGGCTATACTCTTGTGTTTTAGTGGTAAAATCTTATACAGTACAGGAATGTTGAAAAATGAGAGGGATTTTTTCCCCCTCGACTATATCAAAATATCATCTTGTACCCCAAGGCTCTGCGGTCTCATTACTCCCCTCTTGTATTATTCCTTTCAGTTTTTTCCTTCCTATTTCTTCATAGTTCTACATTTTTCAGTTCTTAGTATTATCTTTATGTTTCAAGTTTCTCATACACTCATATAAATGCAATAAGTAAACTCAACTATGCTTAACAGAGTGCTATTATTCAGATGACCAAAACCAAAAACATATTTTGGTAGCAACATTCCCAGATTTTCAATAACTTAAAATAATTTAGAACCTGGGAGGTGGTGGTGGTGGGGTGGGGGTGGGGGGACAGGGAGTCTTATTGCTGGTTTACATTTCCTTGTGTCATTTCTAATTACACGTGCCAGTCTTCAGAGAGAAGGCTCTGGAATCAGGCCGCCTCATCAGGTTCAAATCTGGGTTCTATCACATACTAATTAAATGACTCTGTGCAAGTTACCTAACCTCTCTGTACCTCAGTTTCCTCACTTGAGAAAGAAGAAGAATATCAGCACTTACTTCACTGTGCTGTTATGAAAAGCAAATGAGTTAATACCATCAAAGTGTCAGACTAGTGTTGGCAAATAACAGACAATATTTTAGGGACTTTACATGTATAAATTATTTAATCTTCAAAACAATACGACAAGATAGGTGCCATTATCAATCTCATTTTATAAATTAAGAAACCAAGGCACAGAAAGACTAAGTAACTTGTCCCAGTTGGCCCAGTTAGTAACTGGAGGATTAGCCTCAAACCTAGACTGCCTGGATCCACAGCAATTACTCTGTAAATGTTACTTATTATTATTATCGTTGTTGTTATTATTATTACCTGAACTTACATACTCAATAAATATCTGCTGTTGCTGCTGCTAATGATGAATTTGTATGTCCAATCCTTCTTCAAAGTGTGCTAAAATGTCTATGACCCCCAATGGTATAATTGATTTAGGCAAGGATTTTCACCTAAAGCCACTGGTGAAGTTTGTTGGGAAATAGGAAATTACCACAGTGTCAAAGTGTCACTTGTTCAAATTACTTGTTAATTGCAAAGGAGAGAAAAGTGCCTTTACAACAGAGAGACCCCTGGAGTGAGATCTCTACTTTGAGCCATGATCAAACTGAGCATCACAGAGGGATAACCTGGCATTACGTGCCTCCCGATGAGATGCAATATGGAGCACCTTGTATAAAATGCTCAGTTGAAAGTGAATCAACGCTTTACTTTTAACTTGGAGTTTACAGAAAACACAGGGGGTCAGGGAACAAATTAAATGACACCATCAGGCATCAATGAATCCAGGATGTGGAATATTATACAAGATAACTAGCCTACCCCTTAAAAAGAATTCAATGTAGAATAAACACACATAAAACCCAAAAGCAAAAATTGTACTTTTCTTTTAAAAAAGGAGATCCAGTTTTTTTAAGGTATGGAAGACATTTGGGGGACAAATGGAAAAAGTCAGAGATGGCCTAGATATTTGATGATATTAAGGAACTGCTGTTCATCTTCTTAGGTAATGATGGCATTGTGGTTACATAGGAGAATGTCCTTATTCTTAGATGTGTACTTAATTGTTTAGGAGTGAAGGGTCATTTTGTCTGTAACTTACAAGTATTTCAGAAAGAAATACATACAGATGGAACAAATATAGCAAAATGTTTGCAATTGTTGATTCTAGAAGATGAGTATAGAGGTGTTCAATGTATTAATAGTTCAATTTTATTTTTGAACATTTTATTTAGTGTCATTATAAGATCTATGCTTACATCTTCTTTGGAAAACATATAAGACTTTTATTTGCATGTACTTAGTGATAGTTTTTAAAAATTTTTTAAAATGTTTGCCTCTGAATGCATATTTTTTAAAAACTGGTTTTTAAAAATTATTTACTGAATTCCTATTGGCTGAAATTTATTAAAGACTAGTATTAACATTGTTGAAGAGAACTTAATGCCTAACACATGGCCCAACTTACAGTAAATGCTCAATAAATGTTTATAAATGTTTATTTACGTACTATGCTTTCCTGAGATTTGTAAAGTGACCAAAAAAAAAAGAGAGAGAAAAAAAGCAAGAGACACAAGGCCGTGTTGTTTTTTATGGATCAAAATACGCTGGGCAAATACTTGTGATCGACAAAATGGTGGCCGATCGACCCTATCCTTTGATTCGAATAACCTAGGTTGCAAAGATCCTTGACCAAGTTTTGAGTTTGTTTTATGAGGGCGCGAAAATGGAGACTCTGTCCCTAGGACTAATCCAGCAGCAACTGTAACTTGTTTAAGAAATCCTGATGGAATCACACTTAATGACATGTTTTTGAACAAATGATATCACTTGATCCAGGAAAAGAGGCAAGTTCTGCTCAAGTCTAGACATGAACCCTACAAGTCACCAACACCATTGGGTGGCATTCTCTGAGACTCAAAAACTATGTGGGAACTAGGGTCAATCTCAGCTCTTCCAGAAGGCAATGGTTCTAAAAGAGAGGGCTTCGGCAGCAAGTGAGATATACTTTGTATAAGAGGTGGGAAGAAAATGATCAAGATTCAAAGAAATAATTAATAGTGATATCATTTTGCATTTTCATTAATGCCTTTTCCTAAGGCACTTCATATCTGTATTAATCATTTATTCTTACAATTCCCTATACGGTAAGTGTAAAACAATTGACATTTTTTTCAAAAGGGGGATTTTCATCAGGGCCTTAGATGTGGAAGATATTCAAAAGGATATTATATTAGCAATAGAGATGTTTCTTCATATTGAACAAACTGATCACCTCCTTCCCCTCTGCTTCAATAAGGTCGTTAAAAAAAAAGCTATTACAATTTAGGAGAATAAGATTGCAGTTTACTACATGGGAGACACCCAAGTTCAACCTAGAGAGGTAATTTTATTCAATGATATAGGGCCATCTCTCTTTACAACAAAACCAAAAAAATTCTCGAAAAAAGAGTACAAATTAGAATTTTTAAAACTTGAAATTTAAATGCACTTAGATAATTCCCTATTTACATAGCATTCTTTATTTAGTAATGGATCCTTTTATAAAGAGAATCACTTTAAAATTATCTTACAAATGCGAAGCTTTTATAAACAATAGTGGGTTGTTAAAGCAGAATATACTTATACTAAATGCTCCTTCTAAAACCAAAAATGAGAAAGGAAACAAAAGGGGGGGCCCCACTAAAGAGCTAAACAGTCTATGAGACATGCAGTTGTGCAGAACAAAAGTCTTCAACCTGAGGTTTTCCATTTTCAGATGATGTAACATGAGCACGTGCAACCTTTTCTGTTGGCGCTTAGGATCCTAAACATTTCCCTCCTCTTAATTTATCTGGGGATGTATATTTCCAGTAATGTGCTTTTTAATTTTCTTTTTCATAAAGGAACCCAAACTGGTGTTCTTTGTAAAAGCAACATAAATACTAACAGAAGTAGAAATAGGAGCGATGAGAGAAACCCTGACTTCCGAGTACTAGGGTTCATTCATGGCTGCTCAGCCCTTCCCCTCCCAGCTTGGATTAAATGCTGACTATCCGTCAAGTGGAATTTCACCTCTGTAATCCCATGGTCTAACGTCTCTCCCTGAGATGGCTCAGAAGCCAGTTCGTAGAGGTTTTTGTGTGTAATGGGCTGGTAAGACACAAGCCTCCTCTTAGTTCATTTGCTGGAAGTCAAATCCTATCACCACAAACATTGCTACAGCAAAAGATTTAGAGACCTCGGCTGATGAACCAAAATATTAAAAACAATATTTGGAGAGCTCCTGGGATTCGTTGCAATTACCCTTGACTCATAGAGAGCATCCTGCAAATTATAAAACTGTTCAGGATCACTCGAGTAGGTGGACCGATGTTGCATAATGACATACCTTTGAGGAGAGATGAGGCTGAGTCGATGTCTTGGCTTGGACACTGAGGTATTAGAATCCTCTCTGGCAAGAAGGAAGATGAATTCACATCCAAATTACTGCATTTTCAGAGTGCGGATCCACCTTGTGCTGTCTTCCAGGTACCGCACTAAAAGAGGCTACACATGCTCACAGATCCATTGCTGGTGCCGCCTCCTCCCTACTTCTTACTCCCTCCTCCAAACTACCCCCTAGTCAGCCGTGCAGTCTGTAGGCAAACCACACAGGAACTAGCAGATACGGGGCTTCAGAGAGTTGGGCGTGAGCCTTAGATTATGTGGTTTTGTTTTCTTGCTGCCAGAATTGAACTAAAATGCAGGAGGTTCACTGAAACACTTTTGCTTCTTTGTGCTTGGTTTCAGTTTTAACAATTTCCCCCGTGAACGATTATGTTCACATAAGAAAATTTCTAATCCTAGAGATGGTCCATTGGCAACCTGCTGCTGGCCTGAAGAAAAACACTCTTAGTATATCCATGCACTCAGAGAAACAGTAGGAATTCTTAGGGGAACTTATTTAATACTACCCTACATCACTCACAATATTAAAATCCCAGAGAAAATGCTTTCTTAGTGCACTCAGCCTATAGTATTACTCTTAGCCCATAATATTACCCTTAATAAAAATAAATTTTAAAAAAGGCTCTGAGCCAGAATGCATTCTAACCCCAGTTTTGTCACAGTCTGACATGAGCTGGGACTGGTTGCTGTAATTTCTGGGATTCGTTTTCTCCTGAGTTGGTTGTGCTAAAAGATGTCTGGGAGTTTAAGGTTTTTCACTGACCTAAAGTTGCTGTCACCTTCAACTTTCTCAGTTCTTACCTTCAAATGTATAGCTCACTCTCCTCTTTAAGTTCCTCCCTCCCACACCAACTCATGAAGGCCTCTTCCTCTCTCTTTGCTCTTGCTAGAAAATGGATTGCAGCGTTGCATCTTTTGCACAAAATTAGACAAGTTGCTAACTGCTAAGTGGCACCATTCAGAGTTTGGGGACCAGACCCAAGATAAAGAGGAAAATGTGTGCTCAAGGGATGTTCCTGGCATTAATCCCTTAAAGGCTAAGAAGGAGAGCATCGTATAAGACTCAAGTTGAGGTTCTAACATTTAAGCTTATTCTGTAATGTAAAATGGTATCCTTTTCTATCTTTTTGTCTCTTTATATATATA